TAGTTGGGATCTGGCTCTACCATTTGATGTATTGTGACAATGGCTAGCCGCCCCGTTGTTGTGTGCTTCGTGCCTTGAAGTTGCTTGATAGAGTCTGCTGGGCTTTCTCCGCCTCGGCCTCTTCCCACGCGGTCATGACCTCGCCCACTGCCACATCAATATCAGCTGCGTCCATGGGAATCGATGGCTCCTCAGTCCCTGCTGCCTGCACGTGGATGAAATGCGATCCAGTCCGCGTTGGAAATATCTGCTGGCATGTGATAATGATATACAACCGCCGTAACTCGGTCTCTTGCTAGATGCGTTGCTCCCGGCGAATGCGGCCGCCCCGGGGAAACCGGGACCATCCATGGACACTCTGCCAATGGGCCCACATGCTGTGGACACTGCGGCCAATATACTGATATCGGGGGTAATCACGCTGGCATAATATGCTATCGGGATATATAGGCAATCCGGACAATGCCTGGTCCACATGGTGGGGAATCATGACGGTATTGGCCTGCTAGGCAATCCCCTCCCACTGCTGCACGGCGTCATGGATCTGGACAGCATCGGCATGTTTTATGCTATGGGCATTGCCTTTCAAATGCCGGATGATCTCGGGGGGCCATACACCATGCTGACATGATCAGTAAATAATCACAGGGAACTCTTCCAGTTTTTGAAATAATTGATACTCGCGGGGTTCCATGGCGCGGGACAGTGGACACTATAATGGAAATCCTAATAATGCTGGGAATGGGAAATGGGGGAATGGATGGAAACGGGGGATGAATGGAAACAGGAAATCTGGATATGCAATATAGGGAATCTGAAATGGTTAAATTGGTTGGTGGTCTTAATGGATCCTGATATTATTCCTGATCCTCCGCGGGGCAATAATGACTGGTTAACTTTCATGTAAACTTGCCTTTCCGGGATACCCTAATGTTTCGTGATCGGCTGGGGTTCTGGGGACACATGGATGAAACGCTGGCGGTGATGTGGAATACATGGAATCCTGACTCAGTATGGACTGGACCCTGTTAATTCCTGGATGCTGTAGACGGGAAAATGCTATTGTTCGATATACAATATAATGGCTCGACTGATGGTCTTGCCGGATGATATGACAATGGGTAATGGGGAATAACCGATCGGCCCGTATCCCAACAAACCCGCAACCATTAATTATGGGCAACTTTTGACCACCACTGCATGCGCAAATCATGGTATAATCATCTCCGAAATGAATGGCAGATAATATCGCATCCTCCCAGTAACTGGGGAAAATTTGAAGCCAACTGGCCAACAATTCATCGCTGATATATATGTTTAATATTTCGCTGATATATACATAAACCCTGAATATGACCGCTTATCAGCACCCGTCTTTTGTGATAAGCACGACAATATCACCCATGCCTGTGGGCTAGATAATATCGCATCCTCCCAGTAACTGGGGAAAATTTGAAGCCAACTGGCCAACAATTCATCGCTGATACATATGTTTAACATTTCGCTGATATATACGTAAACCCTGAATATGACCGCTTATCAGCACCCGTCTTTTGTGATAAGCACGACAATATCACCCATGCCTGTGGGCTAGACAATACCAGCCATCTTAATTTAAACTAGCCAAGAAAAATTAAATTCATCACTAATTAAATTTGTTATTACTAATCAGATTGCTAAGCATATTACTAAGTCCCTTACCCATGGAATCATTGATGCAGAATCGGCATATATATATATATTGGCCCACAGACAATGAATTCAATCAAATCAAGAAATTATTTCCTTGAGAAATTATGTCACTAAATCTACCAATCTTTCTAATCTATATATCAGACTGGTCCCTGCTAGTCTGTACTATCCATCAAACTGCAATCCATCCATCAAAAGCCCAGGATCACCTGGCAGCCCACCATCTGAATCAATCACACTATACAGATCAAATCAATGCTCTACACCTACCCACTATACAACATGTCCATCAAGCCATGCGGGCCCGGGAACCCATTGCCCCCATTGAGACCCTGGCCCCATCCATGCCAGCATATCAATGCCGCGTCCACAGCTGCCACACACTGGCCCTGACCCGGAGAAAGCTAAATCATCATTTAAGCCGGATCCATCGGCAATTTGGTACTGCAAATCAAGCTTGCTACCAACAATCCTGCTGGGTTCAGACCCTGGATCACCCGAGATATATATTTCGCGTCCACCAACCCATGGACAGCCCGCCCCAGTCATTGATCCAGACCCAGATTGCAACATCACCGGATCCAGATTAACTGGCAAGTCAATTCCTACACAGTCATAGAGCTCTGGAACAGCACCTGGCTACCAAGAGAGTCTTTAGGGTCTATGGAACCCCAGATAAGGCTAATTCCTTCCACCTGGAGACCCGATATCCGATATTTCTGGATGGCCGGGATCTGGACACCCTAAAGGGTCTATTTACTATAGACCAGCAGGATCAGGATCAGGCAGAGGCCCTATTTAATATAATACACTCGATTCTAGTGAATGGCCAGCAGAAGCTGTTTCAGATCCCAACCCAGGCATTATTTGCCTTAAATTCATTTACTAGAGATAATTCCTCTATAAAGCGCTTTAGGCCTCTCCAGAGCCCAATTACCTTTTTAAACTATACCTATATCTTTCAAGCTTTTCTAATCTTTCTATTGAATTCCTATCAAGATCAGATCACCCGGGAGCCCCAGGGCCCCCAGGCAGTCCACCATCTCTATCAGCTAGCAGCCCCTGAAGTTGGTATCCTACAGGCCCTGGAGACCTTCCTAGCTCAGGTCCGGCCACACCAGACCCAACCAGCTGGGACCACCCCCTCCAGGGTTCTCCAGCCGGACTGGCAGGACCATCTAGAATCAGAATCAGATTCTGATCAAGAGGATCAAGATTTAGAGAATCAAAACAGAGACCTTGAAGCAGGCTCTCAGCCAGGTCAGCCAGGTCAGCCAGGTGCGCCAGGTGCTCGGTCAGGTGCTCGGCCAGGTACTCCGCCAGGTGCTCCGCCAGGTGCAGAAGAGTCAGATTTATCAGATAGTGAATCAAAGCTAGAGCTTTTTAGACCCCCAAATCACCGAGTCAGCCGATTTAGGAAACAGGATATTCAAAAAGGAGCCCATCTGGTCCAGGATCTAGCCCGAGCCCTGGTAGAGAAATGGCTAAAGAATTAATTTACCTGTCCTCTCTATGCCTTTCTGGCCTGCTTTAGTAGGGATTATGCCCGTGGCTGCTTTAAATATATCAGTCAGATTGGCCATATCTATTCCGCAATATTAAAAGTCTTTCAGTTTATCTTTTTAATCCATATACATGAAGAGATATATATAGATCAGACCCAGCCCCCAGAGCCCATGAGTGAATATATCAGGGAATGGATGACCCGATACTGTACCGGCCAGGCAGAGACACCCCTGGGAATCCTGCTAGGCCACCGAAATCTAGCACTATTCCTGATCCATAATGGCACGGCCCTAGGTCAGGTAGTTCTAGTGGGCCCCTACCAGTTCAAGTATCGAGCTCTACTGATCTCACAGCAGGAGCTGCAGAGCTTTTTCTACCAGATAATTCAGGATCTTGCAGATCAACTGGCTAATAAGCTCTTTCTAGATTTTGATTATTTCAGACAGATAGCAGTCTCAATCTCTTTATCAGAGATATCAAGATATAAAGACTTTCAGAATCCAGCTAGGGATTTCAGTTTTAGAACTAATTATCCCCAAAAGACTCACTGGGATACCTTTTTAATACAAAAGATCCTAGCACCAGCCCAACAGACTATCTGGTTCCAAAAGACCCGATCTGATCAGGGGGAAGCTCTGGAGCTAAATCCTAGATCAGCCAAGGCCTATCTAGCAGAGATATCTTAATTTCTTAAGACTCTATCAGTTCTATGCCATATGACTAGTGGTGCCCCAGCCCGTGGAACTGAGCTGAACCAGGTCCTGTTCCAGAATTCAGCCTCAGATCTCAGGCATCTCTTTCTGGACCCGAGGCACCAGCAGTTTCTGATTCGCCTGGCCTATTCAAAGACCTTTAGCCAGACCGGTCAGGTCCGTAAGGTGATTAGGGCTCTGCCAGAGGCAGTATCCTGGCTTCTACTGATCTACCTAATATATATTGAGCCCTTTCTGGAATTCTTGATTATTCAGCTGAACCACAGCCTTCCCAGAAAGCCAGAGCGTCTCTGGACCACCTTTAGGATTTCTCACCTGTCTAGGGTTTCGGTCAGGCCCATTGATTCCCGGACACTATTAACCACCATGAAAACCCTAATGGTTGCGAAGCTGGGTCAGCCGCTCGGGATGAGCACCTGGCGGCACCTGGCCCAGGCCATCATTCGCCATGGGATGCAGGAGCAGGTGCCCGAGGAAGGCCCCGGGGATGACCGGGATGATGAGAGCCTCGGGGCCCAGCAGATGCATCATTCCAGAAGAACTGGCCAGCAGATCTATGGCCGCCAGCAGGTACAGTTTGGCCAGGTCGGGCCGGATTATCAGGAGGCCCTGATCCAGTTCAGCCAGCGCTGGCATGCCTATTTAGGGTTAGCACCCGGTCAGGTGATTCTGGACCGCCTATTCTATCCCCATACAGAGCAGAGAGGCCCTGGTATTGATCCCGATGGCAACCTGGATGGCAACCTGGATGGCAACCTGGATAGCAATCATAATAGCAACCATGATATATATACTGAGATCGGCCAGATCAGATCCCTGCCCCTGGCCGAGCCGGTCATTCAATTCTACTGGCCCCGGGCCATGGCCACACAGGCCCCGAGGCACCATGTGACCCTGGGTGAATTCAATACATATATCTCACTGGACCAGGGCCCGGGGGC